ACTCCCGCTCAAACCGTAATGCGTCCGACACCAAATATTCCTTTGAACCATATACCTCCACAGGCACCTCGAAGGCAATTATCGGGTATTCCCTCAATAATGAGCCACAGTCCGATATTATCTCCTTCGCCAACGGAAGCATTGACAAGTCCTGAATCCTGTGTGACGACTCCAGAAAGTACGTCGTCGTCACCTGTTTTTGATAATAATCTACTAAAAACACATAATGACAATAATATGATCTCTTTCTCCCATGACCCCCATGACCATCATTATCCCCTTTATTAATTTAAAAAAAAAAATAAAAAAATAAAAAAAAAAATTATGGAAAATATGAAGGGAAGGCAAATTTTCCTTCCATGCAAAAAAACTCTATGCAACAACATAATATATATACGTATTATATATAACTTATATATCCCTTTTCATTTCTTAAATTCATAAGTAATCTTTCCCTTTTGTTTTTATTATTTCAATTTTTTTCTTTATATAGATATACCAAAAAAAATTTGTTTTTCTTTTCTCGAATATCGTTACTTAGAGCAGTTTCACTCGATTTTTCACAAGGTGCATGGCATAGAAAAAATTCAATAACTTGTTATTGATTTTTTGCGTTTTTTTTTTTCCCTTGATATAACGTTTTATTTTACTCGATATAAAATTCCAAACATACAACAAAATATACAAAAAATCACGAAAGTTATATATCACACCAATATGCTAACCAGAAAATAATAGACTTTTAAATTTACATTCAAAAAAAAGGAACCGTTTTTTTTTTTTTTATTTGTTTCCTCCCACATTAATGTTTACGGATATAACAATAACAACAAGGATTTTTTTTCTTAAAAATTATTTTTCGTCTATGTTTTTTTTTTTTTTTTAAAAATTATTTTTCGTTTTTTTTTTTTTTTTTTTTTTTTTTGCGTCGGGTTTAATTATATAAAAGAAAAAAAAAAAAAATAGGAAAAAAAGAATATGTATGTGTACGTGTACTTTTAAAATAAACAAAAAAAAGTGGTTTGGACCTCTTTCAACTATTT